TCCGAGGATTTTAGCGTCATTATTCCATCTCAAATTTCATCGCTAAATGTATTTGTCCTAATTCTGTCGCTATTGGTGCCGCTAATTTTCAACGCCAATCCATTGCTAATTTTATTTATTTTATTTTTTATTGAAAATTTTGGTTGTTATTTTATTTTTTAGTTTTTAAATTTGTGATATTCTCGGTAATAATTAATACTTCGAAAGAAAAATATTATTAAAATCTAATTTTTTTATTAAAAAATAAGTTTAAATTTATATTAACAAAAAAATATTTGTTAGTCAATTACAAAAAAAAAAAAAAAACAAATAAAAAATGAAATGTCTCTCCTAATCATTCAATCCCTTTCCTCCTCATGTGCCTCTGTGGGAAGGATGTTAGAGTACTGTGGCTCGATGGGAGGAATGATGGAGTTCTAACTAGTGTATAGATCTACGGATAGTCCGGACGTCCGTGCCAACGTAGTCAAAATCAAGGCAAGTGAGTCATACCGAGACTACAGCTCTTATATGGAACTCTGTTGCTACGTGACATTGTTTTACAGACTCATCTTGTTTGATTTGCATCCCTTTATATCGTCCGTTTCACCTCCTCGTATTGCCTCAAAACCTCCTCATTAGAAATGTCATTGCTATAATGTAACGACATGGAGGACGAGCTAGCGCCATTTGACTGGAACGAGATAATGCGATGCCAACGAGCTTATATCACATACCCTCTCGCTTTTTCTCCCCTACAACCTCGAGGTATATGACGTTCTTGTCAACCTCTCGGTTCCGGGATTCCTTCCGTCGGTTGCATTGCAACAACTTCCTCTATGAGCTTTTCAACACACTCCTATGTAATCGAAATAATTATAATGTTAAAAGATTAAAATAAATTTTAGATTATATTTGCATATATAAAATTTAAAACACTTACCATTGTATGCTAGGTGCGTAAATCGATGAAAAAACCATCGCGTCGCTTGTGAGTGGTCTCAAACAGACTCAAAACTCATTGGTTTAAGTCTTAATTTTGCCTCTTGAAAAAAATGAATCGCAAACAATATGAGATGAAAATCAAAATTTTCTTAAATGTTTAATTAATAATATAAAATATGATCTATCAAGTGACGAGCATGGTCTTTTAAAGAGATGGATTCCTCTCGTATGTCTGGAAGGGCCCGCACCGACCCATCGGTCTCTCGACATCCGATTTCACGATGCTTACTTTGAATGAGTCTTATGATTAGGTCTGGTAAAATCTTGAAGCCACGAGTCTTAGACCTCCTGCCTAATAAAATGAGACCATTCAAACATCGAACTATGGCTGTAGACGAAGTTGGAGTAGCGCTTCCGTGCCAAATCCTTCCAAGCTTCTTTAGCAATCGCCCCGATGGCCAGCTCTCGGTAAAAATATTTTTGCATGAATTAAAAAAATTAATATTAACGACTTAATTTAAAGTTAAATTAATATTTTAAATATAATAAAATAAATTAATAATACGTATCCTAAATTCACTAATATAGTATTGTTTAGTGAGATCCGAGGTGAACTTCCATGTCGGCCCGCCGACGTCTAACTACTCGCTTGAAAATTTTGGTTATCCTAGCGGAATAATCTCTACTAGGTAGACTAAAACTGTTAAACATAAAAAAAATAATAAGTAATTATTGAAATAATATATTAAAATAAAAAATAATAACATCGTCTTTAAAAAATTATATATCATCCGCGAGCGACGTAAATAATCCATCTACTAGATGAGCTTTGGGAGCTCTCTAGAGCGATATATACATTGATAGAAGTGCCACCCGCTTCTATTGATGCGAGAGCCTATATTGACAAGGGAACCTCTATGGGCTGAGATGCTATAGATGTGTGGCTCAGTAGGAGGGAACGGAAGAATGTCCATAGCCTCGAGAGTCGAGGGACCCGCATATAGCGCTCGAAATGGGGGTCAACCCAAACCATGTGTCATAGCTGTATAATATAATCTAAGACGAGTTGAACAAAATATCGATATTAATTAACAAATTACAATATTATAATCAAAATTTATCTAATTAATTTAATAATAAATTCATCTAAGCATAATAAAATTAATTCTAATTCAAAAATTAACTAAATTTTGAATATCAATATTAATTAACAAATTATAATATTTTAAACATTTTCTAATTAATTTAATAATAAATTCAAGTAAATGTAATAAAATTAATTTTAATTCAAATGTTTACTAAATGTTAAACATCGACATTAATTTAAAAAATTGCAATATTGTAATAAAAATTTATGTAACTGATTTAATAATAAATTTAACTAAACGTAGTAAAATTGTTTCTAATTCAAACATTTGCTAAATTTTAACTATCGATATTAATTAACAAATTACAATATTATAATCAAAATTTATCTGATTAATTTAATAATAAACTCAACTACCTAATTAATAAAAATAAACAATTTAAAATGACCCTAATTCAAACGCAATTAAATATTAAATATCAATTAATTAACCAATTGGACTATAATTAATATTAAAAATCAATTAATCAATTCAAATAAGCATATTAAATTAATCCTAAATCACATTAACTTAATTATATTAATCCTAACTAATTATAATATTAATCCTAATTGAAGTGTTAAATATATTTTAAAATAGCAACAAACAATTAACAATAAACGAAAACAATAATAAATAACAAATTAGCAATTAATTAACAAAATTTTAACCTACTAATTAATAAAAAATAACTAACAATTAACAAAATTAACCTAATAACTAACCACACTAATCTAATTAAAAAAAGATCTAGAGATAGTGAGAGAACAAATTACCAAAAGAGAGGAGGGAAAGGAGAGATTGCTAACGGATTTTGGGGAGAAAGTTACACTTTGCGGAACCGAGTGAGCTAGGGAGGGAGTAGAGTAGTGTGGGACGGTGGTTAGGGGCTGTTGGGGGTGGCGGTAGCAATGGAGGAGAGGATGAGGAGAGGGAAATGGGGGAAATAAAGAGAAGAGAAAGAGTATAAAAGTTAAAAGGGTTTAAGATTAGGGATGGACACATTTCCATCGTTAATCCATTGCTAAGTAGCGATGAAAATAAGTGTTCGTCACTAATCCGCTCTAATTGTCCGGAAAGATTGAGAAGTTTGCGTAAATTTGCAATGAACACTTATTTTCGTCATTAATTAGTAACAGAACAATCGTATCCATTGCTAATTTTAATTTTCTACGATCGTCAATTTTATTTACAAAATTTTATAAATTTGCACAATTATCGACATAACGCTATCCGTCACTAATCAACGACGAATAATCTCCATCGCTTGGCCAGTCGTTGCGCTTGGCGATGAAATTTGTATTCCGTCGCTAAAGTTTCTCGCTAATTCGTTGCCAGTCTTTTGACGGCACTTGATAGCGACGGAAAACATTCCGTTGTTAATTGTCCATCTCAAAACCGTTATTGATCCATCACTAAATGATTTATTTTTTATTTCATCGCTATTAAGCGAGTAAATGGCAATAGAAATGAATCCTTTGCTAATTGCCTATTTTCTTGTAGTGTATGTACCACATTTAATTTTTTAATGTATTCTTTTACTAAATGTTTCTATCTAAATTGACATAATTATATTTTTCATTCTAAAATCACAATTTAGCTATATAAAAAAATAATTTTGATTTAAAAAAAAATTAAAATCTTTATTTTTTTAAATTTTAATTGTTGAGTAATCTTTAGGCTTTTTATTTCATAAACATTTTGATTTCCCTATTATATTCTAATATAACTCGATACGATTTTAGAATGGAAATATAATTTTGCCCAACACATTGAAAAACTTAATTAAAAGACATATTAACAAATTAAATACTGTATACGGATATAATAGATATAATTAAAAATACGAAGACATATTGTAAACTTGTTTAATTGTGTAAGGATAATAGAACTATTTATCCAAAGTTTTATGATCTCAAATTACCGGTCTTAGTCTAAAGAAGAAAAGGTGTTTAAAAAGCTGGTTAAGGAGTCATAAAGGAATTTTTTTGGGTTTTTCTTTTTAGCCTGATTGAAGGTTTATTGGGTCATAAATTAGATGATAGTCATAGACTTTCTGATTCTACAGCAAATTTCTCCAATTTCTGGTACGTATGAGTGGAATTTGATATGTTTTAGATATTATGTTCTTGCTGCTTTCGAAGGATCAGAACACAACAACATGTTCTAGAGTAACTAAAGGCAAACTAAAGACAAAAGAAAAAAGAAAAATGATGTTAAAGGTCACTGTGTTAAAGGAGGCAAATCACTAGATAGTAATAATTTTGTGCATTTTACCATGTAAAGAGGAGTCTTCACTCAATATTTTTTTATATATAACTTGCTGGACATATATTTTTAGACCAGTTTATGCGTCATTTGAAATTACTATTATTATTACTTTTGGAAAAAGAATTGACTTAAAAGTTAAAAAGTAGGCAGCGAGCCCAAAAGGATCCTCCAGGAGGCTGAGGCAATAAGCAGAAAGAAAACCAGGTTTGAGGGTTTGTTACAGCAAGACTTCTGGTTCACATATTTCTGTTTAGTCAAACACGTTAGTTTTCTTCGTCCTTATGGTTCTAGAGAAATTAAAGGTTTGACTTGCATAAAATCATACTCAGAAATTTAATTGGAAATTGAATTTATAACCAAAACAAGTTAATACATTTATTCGATTTGCATCTATATGCGTTGCCCATAGGCAAACAAGAAGAGTATACATATTTATGCAGATCCAATCATAGAAAAGTAAGACAAAAAAAACACCTAAATCTACCTATAATATCATCTGGGTAACACCTTATTGATTTAAGTAACTAACACAGCACATGCTATGGTGGAGTACTCAGACCAGCCGGCTATTGAAATCTTGGTTTGGTGCCATTATTCCCTTATTGTTGTTTGCTAATACCAATGGCCAAACACATGTATATTTTTTGCTTCCTTTCTTTTCCCTTACTAAAGGGTTAATCAATAATAAGGTGGAGTTGTTGGAGCTGGGGCATATGTGTATGTGACTGGTTCAGCTGGACCTGGAGCATAAGTGTACTTCACTGGGTGATCTGGTCCTGGTGCAACATAACCAGAGCTTTTGATATCAGCCATCAATCCTCTTCTGACATTTCCCTCGTGCACCTCACATAATTTGGGAAGAAAAACACCTGCCAGAATCGAGAAAGAGATTGTGAGGGGCATGCAATAATAATTACTTGAGAGTTCAATTATCTGTTTAATGAATGGTGGACAAGTTTATTAGTTAAATACCTTCAGCGGCAGCGAGGTTGAAGTATAGATCGACAACGTTAGGGCAGCTGTGGTAGCACTGAGGAGAGCAAAGTTGTTGAGAGAAGCGAGACTCGAGAAGAGAGTCGGACGAGATTCCAAGTGACTTTCTGTCAAGTCCACATGCTTTGATGCATTGGTCTTTTTCAATCCAGTTCTTCAATCTATCAGCCTCAATTTCGGACGTGCGGCATGTGTATGCTTCTTCTCCGGTCCTTTTTATGCGTTTCTCGAGCAAGCAACGCTTGCCGGACGATGAGATTGCATAGGCGCAGGTGTCTTGGTCAAGACGCTCACATATTATTTCTCCTGCAATAATAATAAGATTATGATTCAGTAATTTGCTTAAGAAAAATGAACGTCAGGGGGGCTGCTCTCTAGCTTTCTAGCATCGCTACAGAAATAAAGAAATGGAGAGAAAAAAATCTTTGCTTACCTAGAGCAGCTTGCACACAGATGGCAATGGCCAGAACCAGGACTGACAGAATTTTGAAGCTAGAAACCATGATTAGGCACCGTTGATTAAAATTAACAATACTTGGTGCCCAAAAATTGTTAGGCTTCAAAAAGTTGGTAACAACTTTAATTTGTTAGTTTGCACTTGTCCTATGATGAACTTGTTGTGAGGAATGAAGAGCAGGATGTGGATGCATTTATACTTGTTTAAGGGCACTGTAGAATTTTGGAAAACAGTAAGAGGAAAGTTACGGTGACACTCAATGTGTTTTTTCTTTCTTTTTTTGAAGAAGAAAAATGAAATGATAAGTGGGTTATCTCACATTTTTTTATTGAAAAATATTAATTCTATATCAACACTATTTTTATAGTAAAAAAAAACTGGATAAAAATAAATATACTATCAATTATAAATAACAATAAATAAGATTCAAACTTTGAACCATATAAGTGAGTGTTTTTAACTTGAGAAATGCTAGCAACACCTTTTTTTTACGCTCTTTTTTAAACAATTACTCAATAAAAATATTCATTTCAAAATATTTTTTAACTAGTTCTAACATGCAAGTAAAAAAATAGCAAACAAATTAATGTTCTTTATTTTTAGAAAGTTTTTAAATTAAAATAATTTTTATATTATTTAAAAGTTTAAAGTACTCATCTTTTTATTTGTTTAGCATTAAAATTATCTAAAAAATCCATTAAATTGAAGCCAATAATTAAAATCTAATTTTTCTTTTCTTTCTGTGTTTTATCTTTACAATAAATAAATAATTATCTATTGCACTAGCGCTTTATCCAAATAAATAAAAATATTTTATTTTTTTAAATAATTTGAGATTGGTTGTAATTTATGTTTTTTTAAAAAAAAAATTAACGTAGATAGTGTTATTGAGTTAAGCGTTAACAGAAAAAAAAAAAAAATGTTAAACAGGGTAGTACTAGCATTTTTCTTTTGACTTTTTTGTGACAACCGTTGGCATGCTGTCAATGTTAAAACATGTGTTCACCAACCAACTTGTGTTTGAACTTTAAGTTCTGAAGTTAGGCGGTTCCCATGATTAGGGAGAAACTTCTGGTTTTTTTTTTTTTTTTTAATTTAATATATGTTCCTTAGATTTTGTTTTCCTTTTTTGGGGGCGAATTTTTGGAAAAGACGAATTTTACTTTCTTGATTTAAAAAAACAGAAAAATACCAAAATTTCAACCCCAAAAGGATTACTCGTTAGTCATTAGTGCTTGATTTACGCTCCTTGCCGGAGATGAGATCATTGAAAAAGATATAAATTAATTAACTCATTTATCGATCCTACACTCCTACTTATGACTAACTTTTTCAATTTATTGTTATATAATTAATTAAAATTTTAATTTATTCTTATATTTTTAATTATGTGTATTATTTTTTTACCATATTTAAGTTTTTAGTATATTTTTCTATTAGGTTTTTCTATTTAAATCGACATAATTATATTTTTCATTCTAAAACCAACATTTTACTTTATAAGAAAATAATTTTGATTTTTTAAAAAAGATTTAATATTTATTTTTTAAAATTTTAATGGTTGAGTAATCTTGAGATTTTTTATTTCATAAATATTTTAAGTATTTTTTTCTATTATATTCTTATATAACTCGATACGATTTTAAAATGAAAATATGATTTTATCAATTTGAGGGAAAAAATTAATTAAAAGACATTAGAAAATTAGATACCATATAAAAATATAATAAATATAATTAAAAATATTCTCACATACTGTATACTTGTTTAGTTGTATAAGGATAAATAGAACCATTTATCCAAAGCTTTATGATGTCAAATTACCTGTCTTAGTCTAACAGTCTAATAGTTCGTTAAATTAAAAGAGAAAATACTAGTCATAAGCTGGCTAAGGAGTCATAAAGGAATTTTTTGGGTTTTGTTTTAATTTTCAGCTGATTGAAGGTTTATTGGGTCGTAAATTAGATAATATTCATAGACTTTCTGATTCTACAAATTTCTCCAATTTCTGGTATGAGTGGAATTTGATATGTTTTTGATATTACGTTTCTTGCTGCTTTTGAAGGATCAGAACACAATAACATGTTCTAGAGCAACTAAAGGCAAAAGAAAAAAAGATAAAGGTTGTTAAAGATCACTGTGTTAAAGAGGAGTCTTGACTCATTTTTTTTTTTATATATAAAATTATAAAACCTTTAGACATATATTTTTAGACCATTTATACTTCATTTGAAATTATTATTATTATTATTATTTGAAAAGAATTATTATTATTAAGGATCCTCTAGGAGGATGAGCAATGAACAGAAAGAAACTCAACATAAATGATGCTGATCATTTTTAGACATAAATTATTATTATTATACTTCATTTTTGTTTTTCTGTTCAAGCCTTGTATCTCAACATATTTCTTAGGGTTTAAACTTAATTTGAAGAGTGATAAGTAGAACATATGCCATTTGTTACAGTGAAGGAAGAGTACATGAATGATGCTGATCATTTTATTAGTTCAAACGAAATTTTTCGTAGACTCCACATGTAATATCATGCAAGATAATACGAATATTGTTCTCATGATAAAAAAAAAATTATTTTATTTTTATATTCTTACTTGATTCAATTTTATGTTTGAACATATATTATATTTCTATTTTATCATTCTGGTAAGATTTTTAAACCGAACTACTTGAATTAATCATATAATTTGCATATAAAAATGTTTCATTTATCTGACTTGAAAGAGAATTTTAAAAATAAAAAGCAGTTATATATAAATAAAGTGACTAATTATGATAGTTTGGATTAAAAATTTTACTAGAATGATAGATTATAAACTTAATTTATATTAAATGATAAAATTCAGTCAATTAAAGATGTAAAAATAGATTGAAAAATTAGCTCATTATATAATGACAAGTTAAACTATATATTAAAAAAAAGATAGAAGAAGAAGAAGAAAAACTCCCTTCTAATTTGTTTTGTATATATTGCAATAAATAAGATGCCATCATATGTCCTCCTACTACAGCCAGCTAGCCTACAGCAATCAATCGCGCACATGTTAGTTTATTATCTGAACCTGGATACCTTTTTCCCAGTTCCTTAAGTGATTAGTTCACTTAATTAGCTTGAGGTGCATCATGATTTTCATTTTATCAAAAAAATGATCATCACATGTAAACAAGATCCTATAGCTTGGATCCAATTACTGGGTTAAGGGGGTCAGCTTTCATTGCTCAAAATCTGAAGCTAAAAGAATTCAATAAAGGTTAAACTAGTTCAGAGGAGGCCCTGAAATGTTCCAAATATGTGTCTATCTATCTACTGAAAAACAGACGTAAAGAGAAGGAAAGGATGCATTAAATCTAGAGAAAACATAAACAAACTTAACGTGGAGCACTAGCCATTCTTTTCCCTTGAGAAATAATTAAAGCAATGCAAGTAGGTTAGGTTAATTGAATAGTAATTGGTAGCTGATCATTTTAATTACCATTTGTTTGACAATTCCATTGGTTTTGACTTTTCATTTAATTAGAAGCACAAAATCTTCACTAAAATCCGACTATCTATCTCACATTGTTTAGCTTTTTGCCGTTAGTTTCCGTTATCACTAGTTTACGTTCACATATTCATGTTTAGTCAAAACAATTTAGTTCTCTTTGTCCTTATTGTCAAAACAATACTCACAAATTTAATTGGAAATTGGATTTATAATCAAAACAAGTTAATATATTTATTCGATTTTCATCTATATGCGTTGCTCATAGGCAAGCAAGACAAATACACATATGCTGATCCAATCATATAAAAGGAATACACAAATTACACTCAAATCAACCTATAATATCATCTGGGTGACACCTTATTGATTTAAATAACTGACACAGCACTTACTAGCATGCACACATCATGCTAGTGGTGGATGCTTGCCGGCTACTGAAATCTTGGTTGGTGCCAATCTTCCCTTATTGTTGTTTGCTAATACCTATGGCCATGCACACGCACGTATATTTTTTGTTTCCTTTCTTTTCCCTTACAAAAGGGCTAATTAATAAGGTGGGAGTGTTGGAGCTGGGGCATATGTGTATGTAACTGGTTGGACCGGACCTGATGCATAAGGGTACTTCTCCGGTTGCACTGTTTCTGGTGCAACAAAACCAGAACTTTTGATATCAGCCATCAATCCTCTTCTGATATTTCCCTCTTGAGCCTCACATAATTTGGGGAGAAAAACACCTGCCCAAGAAAAAGAAAAATTGTGAGTGGTATGCAGTAATAATTACTTGAGTTCAGTTATCAGTTTAATGAATGGTGAACGAGTTTATTAGTTAATTACCTTCAGCGGCAGCGAGGTTAAAGTAAAGATCGACAACGTTAGGGCAGTTGTCGTGGCACTGAGGAGAGCAAAGCTGTTGAGAGAAGCGAGACTCGAGAAGAGAATCTTGTAACAAAACAGGAAGATAGAAAGCTATTTATTGGAAAGATAAAATGTGTTATTGATTACCTTTGAAAAAACAGATTACATCTACTGAATTTAAAGAGCTTATCTAACAAACTATCCTATAAAGGCTCCAACTACTAGCATAGGATAATACCATAAACTTATCTGATTTATTTGCATAACAATAGGAAAACTAATCACACCACTTTAGGGATAAGCATTGACTTAAACAACTACTACAACTATTGACTGAAACAACTAATTGTGAATAAATATCCAGGAAGTTACACTAATTTTTAACACTCCCCCTTAGTGCAAGCTTTCCATCAACGACTCCTAGAGCATATCGAAAGCATTGAAACTTAGGCTTCACCAAAGCCTTAGTGAATATGTCGGCCACTTGATCGTTGGTGCGAACAGTTGTTAGCTTAATTTCTTCACTTAAAACTTTCTCACGAATGAAGTGATGTCGGACCTCAATGTGCTTTGTTCGAGCATGAAAAACTGGATTTGATGCAAGTTTAGTAGCACTTTCGTTTTCACGATTGATTTGTACTACATAATCAGCTTCACCCAACATGTCTCCAATCAGCCTCTTCAACCAAATGCACTCTTGTGCAGCCATGGTTGCTGGCACATACTCAGCTTCGGTGCTAGACAAAGCAACGATATCTTGCTTCTTGCTGCACCAAGAAACTACTACCGAACCGAGTGTTAAAACAATAACCCGAAGTTGAGTGACGATCATTTGTATTTCCAGCCCAATCAGCATCGGTAAATCCACTCAACATAAAGTTGCTTGCACCTCTTGTATATAAGACCATAACCAAGAGTTCCTTTCACATACTGCAAAATCCTTTTTGCAGCATCTAGATGAGGAGTTCTAGGACTCTGCATAAATTGAGAAATAACACTAACGGAATGTGAAATTTCTGGCCTTGTAATGGTGAGATAAATTAAGCTTCCAACAAGTTGTCGGAACTTCCTTGCATCTTTCAATGGCTTCCCTTCATCTTTCTTTAACTTAAGATTTGGCTCCATTGGAGTAGCCTTTTCTTTCGACTCCCCCATGCCAAAACGCTCCAAGAGACTATTAGCATAGTCTTTTTGAGAAACAAAATAACCTTGATCTGATTTTTTCACTCCTAGACCAAGAAAACATCCAATCTCCCCCAAATTTTTCATCTCAAAACGAACGAGCAAGTCATTCCGCAAATTAGAAATTTCGATTCATTATCTCCGGTTATTATCATATCATTAACATATAATAATACCAAGAGATGCATATTTGATTCAGATTTTATAAATAAACTAGAATCGAATCGAAACTCTAAAACCACAAAAGATGAGGTATTAAGCAACTTTACCATACCAAGCTCGTGGTGCTTGCTTTAGGCCATAGAGCGCTTTCTTCAAACGACGGACAAGATTCGGAAATTGTTTAGAGACAAAACCATGAGGTTGCTCCATAAATGCTTCACAATCCAATTCTCCATAAAGGAATGCATTCTTTACGTCAAGTCGCCATAATTTCCAACCTTTAAAAGCGACGAAGTGAAATAAGTGTCCTCATTGTCACCATCTTTGCTACCGGGCTTAATGTTTCCTCATAATCCAATCCATAGCTTTGTGAGAACCCACGAGCAACTAGACGGGCATTAAACCCGTCAATGGTGCCATCCGATTTTTTCTTCAAACGGAAGACCCATTTGCAAGTGACTGGCCGACACTTATAAGGTTTGGGTACCGGCTCCCATGTCTCATTTTTGTCTAGAGCATCAATCTCTTCTTGCATTGCTCTTTCCCAATTTGGACACCCTTTAGCTTCTTCATACCATGTTGGTTCTTCTGCAGTTAATGCTCCCGTAAAGAAACATTTAGTAATAGAAAAATTGTTAAGTTCTACCTTATAATCTTTGAGATAGCACTGTCCGCCTTTTCTCCCTTGTTGACCTTCTCACTCGTTTGTTGCTCATCCTCTTCTCTTTGTGTGATGTTCGAACTTGGGATTCATTTTCCACCTCTTCATTATAAGGTGCTTGCATATTTGCTTCGGGAAATAGGAACTCCAAATTGTCTTGATCATCACCAAGAGCAACGAACTTTTGAGTAGAAAATAGAGATGACACTTCATCGAATACCACATCTCTAGAAGTAGTAAACTTCTTTGTCTCCGGATCCATACACCTCCGACCCTTTCTATAAGAGTCATAGCCAACAAATACACACTTTCTTGCTTTTGGGTCTAGTTTGGTTCTATTAGATTTGGGAACATGAACATAGCAAATAGAACTAAATACCCTAAAGTAATTCACATTTGGCTTTTCACCATATAAAATCTCAAAGGGACATTTTTGTGTACTCGGCCAAAGAGGCGACCTATTTGTCACATAGCATGCGCATTGAATGGCTTACGCCCAAAGCTCCCGAGGAAGATTTTTGTCATGCAACCATGAAAGACAAACTGAAACAAGATAGCCAAGCTTCCTTTCCGCAACTCCATTCTGCTGTGGAGTGTCCGGACAAGTCATTTGACGAAGAATGTTGTTTTCATCACAATATTGGAAGAAGTTATCCGACATGTATTCCCCACCATTATCACTCCGAAGACATTTTATCTTTTTCCCGAATTCTTTTTCAACAGACATTTTTGAACTCCATACACTTAGATAGAGCTTCACTCTTCTCTTTCAAGAATTTCACCCAAGTGAACCTCGAATGATCATCCACCAACACCATAACATAACGATGCCCGCTATAACTTGGTGTTTTTGTTGGTCCCATCAAGTCCGTATGAACCAATTCGAACAATGTGGATCTTTGATTTGATGAATTTTTGAAAGAAAGACGATGAGATTTGCCATATTAACGAGCCTTCACAAATCACATCTTCACATACATTCTTCAAAGTTGGCATACCATCTACCAACCTCTTAGAAGAAATTTGCTGCAACATTTGGTAGCCTACATGACCCAATCGAGCATGCCAAATTGCAGCATTGTCGGTTTGGCTTGTTTTCTTCACATAGGCTTCACTCGCTGACATAACGAACAAAGAGCCTTTCTTCTTGCCGGTAAAGATAATATCAGCGAGATATATCTTTCACATTGTCCGTACTTTCACATCATTTGGACCAAACAAGACATATTTTCCAGAATCGGTAATTTGAGGAACCGAAACTAGATTTTTCGTCAAACCCGGAACATGATAAACATTATGCAACTTGATACTTCTAGTTGTATCATCAGCAACATCTATTGTCACAATACCTTCTTTCGCTACTTGGATAGGTTGAGTTATACTGCAGTAATAATAACTCGATCTCCATGGTGTTCCCGCACCTCGGAAAATAGATTGTCATCTCCGAGTTACATGGTGAGAACATCCTGAATCAATGATCCACTCTTCCTTCTTATTGTTGGCATAGTTGACAAAAGCTTGGGCTGACTTTTGTTCGACAATTTCAATGGTAAAACATTGCTCCCATTTGAGTTGATCATCTCCTTTGCTTGTGTAAGCAACGTTAGCTTTGGTAATCTTCACCCAACAGTTTTTCTTGATATGCCCAATTTTGCCGCATCCGAAACATGTAATAGTTTTCTTACTTTGATGGCTACCACCTTTCTCTACACTTGGAGTCTTCTTCTTTATTCTTGATCCGGGATGTATTCTTCTTGTTTAGTTTCCCCTTCGAAAAAGAACGACATCGGATTCGAAATTCTTCGCCATTTGTTTCGCTAAAGCTTCCCGATTAGAGAGCAAATTCTATAACTCTTCTACAAAGGGTTGCTTTGACCACCCTTGAATAGAGGTGACGAATGGCCCGTACTCCTTCAATCCACGAACAAGATAACGACGTAAACGACCTTCGCTAATTTTCTCATCCACATCTATCTCCGAAATTTCAGCACAAATACTTTTAACTTGTAAGAAATATTCTGAAATTGACATACCTCCTCGCTTTAGCATTGCCAACTCGTTCTCCAACAAGCCGCAACCTTGCGAGTATTCTTCTTGGTAAACAACCTATCAAGCGTTTCCCAAACTTCCTTGGGAGAGTTAACATCACGAACATGATCAATAAACTCTTTGCTAATGGACGTTCTCAAGGCAAAGAGAGCCTTTCCGCCCTTGATCTTCCACTTTCATCTTGGTTCAGCATTCTCTCGGAGTATCAATAGGAATTTTCGAATCATGGCCATCAACAAGTTCCCACAAGTCCCGACCCCGAAGATATGCTTCCATGCACATTCTCCAATACTTGTAGTTTGTTCCTACAAGCTTCTCTACACCATACTCGTGCAGCGAAACTATTTCCTCCATTTCTAGACTCCATAACAACTTAATGGATTTAGAAAACTTGATCTTCTCCAACAAGTATGCTACTTGGATAGACAAGAAGACTTTTGAACCTTAACTTGGCTCGATACCATGTAACAAAACAGGAAGATAGAAAGCTATTTATTGGAAAGATAAAATGTGTTATTGATCACCCTTGAAAAAACAGATTACATCTACTGAATTTAAAGAGCTTATCTAACAAACTATCCTATAAAGGCTCCAACTACTACCATAGGATAATACCATAAACTTATCTGATTTATTTACATAACAATAGGAAAACTAATCACACCACTTTAGGGATAAGCATTGACTTAAACAACTACTACAACTATTGACTGAAACAACTAATTGTAAATAAATATCCAGGAAGTTGCACTAATTTTTAACAAATCTGACGAGATTCCAAGTGATTTTTTGTCAATTCCACATGCTTTGATGCATTGGTCTGTTTCAATCCAGTTCCTCAATCTATCAGCCTCGATTTCGGACGTGCGGCATGTGTATGCTTCTTCTCCAGTCCTTTTTATGCGTTTCTCGAGCAAGCAACACTTGCCGGACGATGAGATTGCATATGCACAGGTGTCTTGGTCAAGACGTTCACATGTTATTTCTCCTGCAATAATAATACCGTTTTATGATTCAGTAATTAATTTGTTTTAGAAAATTCATGAACTTGAATGTGGGTTGCTCTGGCATTGTGAGAGAAATAAAGAAATTGAGGGAAGAAATTTTTGCTTACCTAGATTACCTTGCACACAGATGGTAAGAGCCAGAGCCAGGATTGAAAGGATTTTGAAGCTAGAAACCATGATTAAGCACCGTTGTGATTATAACTATCAGATACTTGGTGCCCAAAAATAGTTAGGCTTCAAAAAGTTGGTAACTTTAATTTGTGAGGAATGAAGAGGAGGGTGTGGGGGCATTTATACTTGTTAAGGGCACTGTCGAATATTGGAAAACAATGACAGGAATTTTACCCCTTGTTTGGATAGGGTGGAAAGTGGGGGATAGGAAAGAAAATGGGGTGAAAAGAAATGTTTCTGCCGTTTGGAAAGAAGAAGGAAAGCAGTGAAAAGAAAAAATAATAATAAACAATATAAAAAATGATGGGACTCATTTTCCTTCTAAAATTGGGAGGAAACGGGAAGAAAAGGCTGAGAGAAATCTTTTTTTTTGTTTTCGCATTTTTTCCCTTGCAGCCGTCCCCCTCATTTACTCTCCACATAACAGATCTGCAGAACAGATCTCCATCATCCTGAATAATGAAAGCAAAAGTTCACAATCTCTCTCCTATTTTTCTTATTCACACTCGCACTCGCACCCCTTTACAAACAACACTGATACTTCGAAAGTCCAAAAAGGAGACCCAATCACCATTTTCTTATTCACACTCGTACTCGCACCCCTTTGCAAACAATCACAATGGAGGCTGTAGCTGCTGCGATTGGATCAGCATTTCTCAACAGCGTCGTTGATCTTTTGGTGCAGAAGTTGGATTCTCCCCTGGTTCTGGATTTCTTCAAACGCCGAAAGCTCGACAACAGACTGATGGAAACGTTGGCAGAAACATTGAATTCTATCAAGTGCTGATTTTCTCTCGGGTGATTTTGGGCTGACACTCGAAGGTGTTACCTCGGATCAACTTGGCATTGCACTAAAAGTTACCATAACAAGTAATTCAACAACCATAGTTGCTGACCCAGCTACTAAAGCTGAAATTCAGGCAAGAATTCTGCAGATAAAAAAGGACCTTGCTCAAGACAGAAAAGAGGAAGAAAAGACGCTCAAAAGAGAAGGAGAAAGGAACTGTCAACACAGTGCGAACGGCCATCATTTTTGCCATTTATGACCACCAAATAGATATCATCTTCTCCCCTATTCTTTTCTATTAACTAGGAGGAAAAAAAACACGTGTGAGGGGGATTCGATGCATTTGGTGCCAAATTAAAATGGAAAAAAGCATGAAATAGCAAGGCAGAGATGTTAGCCAAAAATGTCCAAAACTGAACATAATAGGGCTGACCAAGAAGCGGGATTTAAGAGTGATTTTCTTCTTGTTCTTACATAATTAGAGTTGAAACTTATATCTAGGGATAGAGGAACATTAGGAATGGAATTTACAGTCTCTTTTTTTTGCAGTCATTTAGGAAGAAAAATCAAAGAGAAGGAGGCCATAAAGTGGCGGGTCAAGCTGTCCAAAAGGAAAGGCTACTGGAATGGTTACTGAAAAAATAGAAGTTTGGCTGGCATCTGACTTTTTGTTCATGATTGTGAGGGGATGATGTACATGATTCACTTGTGTTAGAGTACTTACGATTACACCCAGAATCACAGCATACTAATGGCCAAATCAGTGGGCTTTTGATTCACAGAGATTGTTTCTGTTTACAACTATTTTAGGCTAGTTTTTGATGTCTTTTTCACTTGATTTTTTTTAACTTTTTTTTGGATATACATGTTTTTGAAGTGTGTTTCAAATTTCAAAATTTTTAAATGTAATTTGATATTTATTTTGAGTTTTTTTTTTCGTTTTAGAGATTTACGATGATCTCTCTTAGAGTTTTGATTTCGGTTGCAATGAATATAGGATTCGCTTATGACTTAGATGCTTTTAATTAGGAACTGTTGTCAATCCAACAATTCTCTTTTTGCCAGGGACCAACGGTGGTCTTGGTAAATTTTGAAACAGATAATGCTGCCCTTTCAAGAAAGCTCTCAGAGAGAATTGCTAAATTATCTGGTGGTGTGGCTGTAATCAAGGTTTGTGTTCAAGTACTCAGAAAGAATTGCTAAACTACTATACAATAGTATTTTGGAAAAATGGATGGGCATCTTGACAAATCTGGCTACAAGTGCGAAGAATTACTGCTAAGGACATTAAACTCCTAGAGTGGCATTAAGTAACAGGGACGAATTTTCTGCTCTGTTTTCCTTAAGAATTATAAAGACAAATGATAGGCCTCTAATCTTTTGTTTGGTGTTGATTTATTGTAAAGTGATCTTTATAACTTGTTAGCATGCAATGTGCATAAAATTTAGGTAGGAGCACAAACAGAGACTGAACTTGAAGATAGAAAACTCAGAATTGAAGATGCAAAGAATGCTACGTTTGCTGCCATGGATGAAGGGATAGTACCTGGTGGTGGTGCAACATATGTTCATCTCTCGGAGCAGATTTCCTCAATAAAAGATTCCATGGAAGATGAAAATGAGAAGATCAGTGCTGATATTGTTGCAAAGGTCTGTTCTCGGTTCTTTTCTTTTGCCAGAAGTTACTTGCTCTATAATTTTGCCTCACTGGCATTTGATCTAAGATGGTTTTATTTTCTTTCGTGAGATGTGCCTTTTATGTATGTTTCTTTATTTGGATCGGTGAATTTTGCATTTCAAATGGAAACAAGCAGCTTTTGTGAATCAGTTACCACGTGCAAATGCTATAGGGGTTGATACTAAAGCAGATTCGTGCACAAGGCTTGTAAAACGAACCAAGGCCCCCTTAATCATTAGTTGGTGATTTTTTATAATTACTGATAAAGTGGGACACTTTTGTGAATTGGTTATAAATGCAGTTCATAGCATGGAGAAACCTAACACGTGTACTAGTTTCTAAATGACTCGAAGGGAAATTTCTTCCCCCATATAGTAACACTTGCCAATGATGCATTACAGGCACTTCTTGCACCTGCAAAAACAATTGCAACTAATGCAGGGGTCGATGGAGCAGTTGTGGTGGAGAATAATCGATCTCGTGACTGGAGAACTGGTTACAATGCAATCAATGGTAGATATGAAGATCTCCTGAATGCAGGTGTGGTAGATCCTTGTAGAGTTTCTAGGTGTGCACTTCAAAGTGCCGTCTCAATCGCTGGGATAGTTCTAACAACTCAAGCACTGCTGGTTGAAAAAATAAAGAAGCCCAAGCCTGCTGTCCCTTATGTTCTTGGAATTACACCATGAGAAAAATGGAAACGAATTTTGTTATAATCTTTGAAAGAAGCTGAAGAAATTTTATCTCTGATAGCTCAGATCAAAGGTTTGGAGTGGGCTGTAAAATCTTCTATTCTAGTAACTAAGCAACTAGGCATATAGGAAGAGTAATCTCCATATCCAAATGTCCTCTGTAAAATCTTCAATTGAAGTTGGTCACTTACACAATTTATGCAGAAAGTCACCTTTATTCTATCAAATTGATCCTACAACTTACCTAATTATATGTGGTGTTTGCACATAATTTTTTCTCCCATTTATTTATTTATTTATTCTAAGTATTACAAAAATACTCAAAAAAAATGATAAAACAAATCAAGCAAAAAATAGAAAAAAAAAAAAAAGAGCAATTAGAATGGCCTAGTTTAGATTGATTCAAAGAAGAGAGCTAATTGAGAAAAATAATGGGTTGGAAGTAATTGAAAAGACAATCAAGAGCATAATTGAAAAAAAAATCAAACACCCAAAACACTCCCAAAAATACAAAAATAATATACCCCTTAAAATAGCCATGAAACACCTCCCCAAAACTAGCTCTCAAACAGGTACAAACAAGCCTCAACACACCCTAAACAATAGCCCCAAAACAGACCTAACACCTACCAAAAGCTGAAAAAATCAGCTCTAAAACTATTACCAACAGCCCTCCAAAACCCTTACAGAGCAACCCCTTTGGACAGCTAGTTTGAACCACCGAAGCAACTCCAAAAACACCCCCAAACCAGCTTCAAAAACACCTAAAAAAACCCCCAAAAAACCCTCAAAAAATATGCCTAAAACCAACCCCAAAATAGACCCAACACCTACCAAAAGCTCCCAACTCAGCCCTGAAACTGTTACCAATAGCCCCCGAAAACCCTTACAGAGCAACTCCTTTGGAAAGACCATTTGAACCACCAAAGAAGCTTGACAAACACCCCAAACCAGCTTCAAAACTACCCAAAAAAAACCCCAAAAAACCCTCAAAAAAGAGGCCTAAAACCAACCCCAAAACAGACCCAACACCTACCCTAAAGGCCCCAAACTCAGCCTGAACTATTACCAACAGTCCCTGAAAACCCTTACAGACCAACTCCTTTGGAAAGGCCATTTGAAATACCAAAGAAGCTCCACAAACACCCCCAAACCAGCTTCAAAACCACCTAAAAAAACCCTAAAAAGAGAGGCCTAAAACCAATCCCAAAACAGACTCAACACTTACCCAAAAGGCTCCAAACTCAGCCCAGAAACTATTACTAACAGCCCCTGAAAACCCTTACAGAGCAACTCCTTTGGAAAGGCCATTTGAACCACCAAAGAATCTCCACAAACACCCCTAAACCATTTTTAAAACCACCAAAACAAAACCCCAAAAAACCATTAAAAAAAGAGGCTTAAAACCAACCCCAAAACAGACCCAACACCTACCTAAAAGGCCCCAAACTCATCCCCGAAACTGTTACCAACAGCCCCTAAAAACCCTTACAGAGCAACTTCTTTGGAAAGGCTAATTGAACCATCAAAGAAGCTCCAAAAACACCCCCATACCAGATTCAAAACCACAAAAAAAACCCACCAAAATAGACACAAAATATCCATCAAGATAGCCCCTCGAACACTTTTTGGAGTTACCGTAAAAGAAGAAATAAAAATTATTTGTGATTTGTCCCATTTTTTGTTATTCAATTGACTTTTCATGATTGTTCGCAATGTTACCATATACTCTTTTTTTTTTTAATTGCTAAATAGTAATTGTTTATTCTATAAAAAAAAATGGAGAAAATGATGGGTAAAAGCAACTAACTTATTATATGCATAGATAATAATACATGTTATACATGTTTAAATTAATTTTATGTTGATAATTAATCTAAATTGGCTATTGAATTAATTAATTAATTAATAGTTATCGATTATTCTATGGAGACGATTCATTATCTATCTTATCATTTCAGATATATGCTCCATGCTATATTTTTATTTTATTATCATTTGTGTTATTTTCATGAAAAAAATATTCATATAAATTTATTATAAGTATTTAAATATAGAAATATAATCACAAGGGTACCATAATATATTTTCTTTCCTTCCTCTTTTTACAATTATCCAAACAAGGGAAATGTATTTTCTTTCCTTTTCTTTCCACTCTTATCCAAACAACAAGTGGAAAATGATTTTCTTTCCTCTCTCTTTTCTTTTCTCTCACTTTCTATCGTCTCCTTTCTTTCCTCCCAAGAGGAATTATCCATACAAGGGGTGTTCACGTATTCCTGTTTAGTCAAACACTTTAGTTCTCTTTGTCCATATGGTTCTAGAGAAATTAAAGTTTTGATTTGCATAAAATCACACTCACAAAGTTAATTGGAAATTGAATTTATAACCAAAACAAGTTAATACAGTTATTCCATTTTCATCTGTATGCATTGCCCATAGGCAAACAAGAAGCGTATACATATATATGCTGATCCAATAATAGAAAAGTAAGACACAAAACACACCTAAATCTACCTATAATATCATCTGGGTAACACCTTATTGATTTAAGTAACTAACACAGCACATGCTATGGTGGAGTACTCAGACCAGCCGGCTATTGAAATCTTGCTTTGGTGCCAATATTCCCTTATTGTTGTTTGCTAATACCAATGGCCACACACATGTATATTTTTCGTTTCCTTTCTTTTCCCTTACTAAAGGGTTAATCAATAATAAGGTGGAGTTGTTGGAGCTGGGGCGTATGTGTATGTGACTGGTTTAGTTGGGCCTGGGGCATAATTGTACTTCACGGGGTGCCCTGTTTCTGGTGCAACAAAACCAGAACTTTTGATATCAGCCATCAATCCTCTTCTGATATTTCCTTCTTGCGCTTTACATAATTTGGGAAGAAAAAGACCTGCCAAAATACAGGGAAAAAAAGATTGTGAGGGACGGATATATATGCACTCATAATTACTTGACTGCAATTATCAGTTTAATGAATGGTGAACAAGTTTATCAGTTAATTACCTTCAGCGGCAGCGAGATTGAAGTAAAGATCGACAACGTTAGGGCAGCTGTGGTAGCACTGAGGAGAGCAAAGTTGTTGAGAGAAGCGAGACTCGAGAAGAGAATCTGACGAGATTCCGAGTGATTTTCTGTCAAGTCCACATGCTTTGATGCATTGGTCTGTCTCAATCCAGTTCCTCAATCTATCAGCCTCGATTTCGGATGTGCGGCAGGTGTATGCTTCTTCTCCGGTCCTTTTTACGCGCTTCTCGAGCAAGCAACGCTTGCTGGACGATGAGATTGCATAGCCACAGGTGTCTTGGTCAAGATGTTCACATGTTATTTCTCCTGCAATAATAATACCATTATATGATTCAGTAGTTTGTTTAAGAAAATTCAAGAACTTCAAGATGGGCTGCTATCTAGCTTCAAGCGTTGCTAGAGAAATAAAAAAATCTTTGCTTACCTAGAGTACCTTGCGCACAGATGGCAAGGGCCAGAGCCAGGATTGAAAGGATTTTGAAGCCAGAAACCATGATTAGGCACCGTTGATTAAAATTAACAATACTTGATGCCCAAAATTTGTTAGGCTTCAAAAAGTTGGTAACAACTTTAATTTGTTAGTTTGCACTTGTCCTATGATGAACTTGTGAGGAATGAAGAGCAGGATGTGGATGCATTTATATTTGTTTAAGGGCACTGTACAATTTTAGAAAACGGGGAGACGAAAGTTACGGTGACACTCAATGTTTTTTTTTTTTTTAAAAGAAAAATGAAATGATAAGCGGGTTATCTCACATTTTTTGATAGAAAATTATTATTTCTATATCAACACTATTTTTTTATTAAAAAAAAAAACTCCATTGCATCTATGTTAAAGTTCAAGTTTAATGTTTTGTCAAAAATATCTATGATTAATTATACGTAAAAACATAAATATACTATCAATTATAAATGACAATAAATGAGATTCAAACTTTTAACTATATAAGTGAATGTTTTTAACTTAAGGAATGATAGCAACACTTTTTTTTACGCTCTTTTTTTAAACAATTACTCAATAAAAATGTTCACTTCATTTTTTTTAACTAGTTCTAACATCCAAGTAAAAAAAAAAAAAAAAATAGCAAACAAAAGATGATTAATGTTCTATATTTTTAGAAAATTTTTAAATTAAAATAAATTTTATATTATTTAAAAGTCTAAAATACTTATCTTTTTATTTGTTTAGCCTTAAAATTATCTAAAAAAACCATAAAGTTGAAATCAAGAATTAAGATTTATCTTTTATTTTCTTTTTTAATACAAACACCGACTAATTTATCTCTACAATAAATAAATTATTATTATTACATTGGCGCTTTATGTAAAAGAATAAAAAATATATTTTAGTTTTTAAAATAATATAAGATTAGTTGTAATTTAATTTTTTTTTTTAAAAAAAAAACATAGAACATCTTAGATATTTGAGTTAGTTAAAAAAAATTGAGGTCGACATTGTGATTGAGTTAAGTATTTTTTTAAAACAATATTAAACAAATATTGCTAGCATTTTTCTTCGGACTTTTTTTGTGACAACCATTGGCATGCTGTCAATGTTAAAACATGTGTTTACCAAGGTTTTGTTTGAGCAGTACGAGTTAGTTATTGGTCGAGTTCCAACCAACCAACTTCTGTTTGAACTTTAAGTTCTGTAGTTAGGCGGGTCCTTAGATTTTTTTTTTTTTTTTTTGGGCCGAATTTGTGAAAAAGACGAGGGTAGATTCAACCCGTGGATCTACCCTTTGGCAAAGCAACGCAACAATTTTAATTTCTTGGTGTTTTTTAAAAAAATTCAACCCCAAAAAGATTACTCATTAGTCATTAGTGCTTGATTTACGCTCCTCGGCCCAGATGAGATCATTGAAAAAGATGTAAATTAACTCATTTGTCCTGCACTCCTACTTATGGCTAACTTTTTCAAATTCTTATATAATTTATTAAGTTTTTCATTTATTCTTATA